TCCAAATCACACATATTAATCACAGGTAGCCAATAGAACAATGAAATAGAACCAGCAAACAACTCACTCATTTTTCACACGAACACTCCACCAAACGCGAATAACACAATGCGCGGGCAACATTTATTACAGTTGTACTGCAACCATATGTACACACCAACATCATAAAGGTATCCATCTCCTGTAAAAACACAACAATACAACAATCAACAATAATCCAAAATGATATGAAAATTCACATTGTACAAAATTAGATGCCTATGTGTATAGTTCAAGTGCTAAATCCATAATGAAAACTATCACCACCATCTTTACACAACATAAAACATTTTACAATATCAAAATGACACCACCACATTAAGGTAACAGTACACAACATGCAAGCAACCCTCATAACTTCACATTAACAAGATGTGAACATTCACATTGATACATATACTCTGAATTATATCACCCACACAGAGTCTCATTAAGCAAACATCAAAGTAAAATGAGAACATCCACATTCTTTACATAATCTGAATGACCTCCCCTCCATAGGACCACATAAAATGCATATAATTGAACAAACAGAGCATCCGATCCATATCAATCAAAAAACAGAGCATCTGATCCATTATACAAATCAAAATATAAACTGAACATGTATTCATTACCAAAATGATACTAACCTTAATCATGCAATCCTACAATCATCCTGTAACTCAAAAACAATTGATTTGAACTAGTTATGCTCCAGAAATTGTGACAACTGAACATCGTCCAATTCGTCGTCTTCACTCGAAAATCACCGAACCATACTATAACAGCAACAATGAAACCTTAGCACATCAAAGCCTTTGAACGAGCATGCAAAATAAAAACGTATCCATCTAAATTAGAATGATGATCAAAAGCATAAAGATAGAAACTACCAAAACTGAATCAATGAAAAAAGTGACAACGTGTTATGTGTGTATATATATATATATAAGGACATAATAGTCCAGGTACAAATATAAAATTAGTAAAATGGACCTTATAGAATAAAAAGAAAAGTATATGAAACTGATCATGTTATAATATTTCTTTGTGGACCTAATGAGTTATAACAACTCTAATTATAAATGGATTTATCAATAAAAATCTCTAACTAAATACTATGGCAGATGAGCCTCACATAAACATATGCATAGTTATTGACATATGCATGACAGCTATTATATGCATATTTATTATTAACGTTATTTACTACATTTCTATATCATTCATCAAAACAAGATTTGATGAATCTTATCACTAGTATATATTTTCAATTCAACGCTAACAACTGGATTGGCCCATAAGATTGTCGAATTAAATTGTAAAAATAGATGGCCATTGTAAGACATTGGATAATTTTGGAAAATATATATACAATGTGTATGAAAATATGTACAAAATGTATAAAAACATCTAAAAGTGTATGAAAACATATAAAATGTGCATCAAAATTCTACGTTTCCATGCATTATTTGTATCTTAAACAACACCTTTTGAACAACAATTAACAACAATCATAAAAAAAAAAAATAGTCAAAATTAAGCTAAACAAATTTTTGATTCTTTAACCTTTTTAAGATCAGTGTAGAATGGAAACCCAAATAAGAAAATCCACACCCTCAAATTTAAAAAATAAAAAAAATCATAGTAAGATTTCTTAACTACATACTAAAAATTATTGAAAAATCAACCACATGCCTTGGGTAAAAATATTTAAACAGCAAATCTCATAAATTTGACTTCTTACGTGATTGTGTGTCTATCTTATAGTAAAAGAATACATAATTATTTTACTCTTTTTTTAATGACAAAACATAAGACTTGGGTTGTTTGGGATGACCTAAATAAGTGTACTTTTTGTCTTTTTACGAAAACATGTACAGAAAAGTAGAGAGGTGATGTGATGGAAAAAAGATAAAAAGATGAATTATTTTGGTGTTGCCAAACTTAGCCTTAATATATTAAAATATCTGACCATAAATATCTAATAAAGTGCATCGAAATATAAAATAGATCTTAAAACCTCCACGGCAAAGAGGATATGAGTCTTCATATAGAGAGAAAAATAAACCTTCACACAAGGAGGAGAAAACCTCTACATATAAAGATATTATTACAACATACTAAAAAAAAAAAACACGAAAACGAAACAAAACAATACAATCACCACCAAACAAACAAAATCAATCATCTTTATGATTTGTTCATCATCGTAATCAATAACTGTGGTACCTTAATTCCCGACTCTACATTACAAAATAAAATATTTTAAATTTGAAGTGGTTACATAGCATATAACAACATGTTTAACAACGTAAAATCTCGATCATGAATCAAATATGAGTTTAAATTTAAAAACTTCCTTTGTAGCAAGCCGATGATGGAAACAAGAGTGACCATATTGGCTAGCATTTGTGATCAAAACTGCGCAAAAAAAAAGCGGAAGGTAAAAGATGGCTAAAAGCACTACCCTCTCCTCTATCATAACTAATTTACTTGAAATATTAAATAAAATAATAATTAATAAATAAATAAAACCACTCTACATATTTTAAGAGGTGTTTTGAGAAAATGGTTAAAAGTTTATTTTTAACTTTTAACCAAGCCTTATACTTTTTTAAAAAATAATTTGAAAATTGGTAAAAAACAATTTTTTGCTTTTTGGGTTAATATTTTTTTATGATGTCACATCACAGCAAAATGACCAAAATACTCTCACCTAACCTAGGAAATTTACTTTTGGACCTATGTGGCTCATTTTGAGCTCATTTGGGAAGAAAAAAACCTAGGATTTTTTGGCTAAAATAGCCACAAAAAAATAAAATAGACTAAAAAGTCAGTAAAATAAAACGTCACATTCAAATCATAATCATTTCATTTTTTCTCTCATAAAAGTTAAAAAAAATCAAAAATCTCATCCCAATTAAGGCTTTTTAACCCTAAAATAAAATAATTAAAAAGCTAAAAAAACCAACTCACATCCCAAACAACTCCTTTCTAACAGCTTTTTGGAGTTTTGTGGTGGAGGGCACTGCTTGTAATTTCACAAGTTGCGTTTTGATCACTCCCAAAATGGTGTTGGCGTTTTGTGCTGGAGAAGCTGCCTTTTGGACGCTGCTTTCATATCTCTTATACAAATTCAAATTATAATATAACAATATATTTTTATATTATATGATATTTTTTGTCTAATTTTAAATAAAAAATTATTTTAGAGGTAAAATGAAAAAAAAAAATTAAACTCAAAAGGTTAAAATAAAAAATAAAAAAATAAAAACGAAAGTGAAAGTGAAAGTGAAAAAATGATCAAATATAAAAAGAGCAATATATAATTTATCCATACAAAAATCATCAACTAATAGCACATGGGATTAGAGATGGCAATTTGAACCTAGCCCGACGAGAACCCGACCCTCCGATCCCGATTTGAGCGGTTTTTCCTAAAAAAATATCCCCAACGGGTAGGGGATGGTATTCAAAAATCAATCTCTCATAATTTCATCAAATCTGACCGGTCGTCTGGCTGATCATTCAGCTTAGAATAAATTTTCATCAAATCAATCCCAAAACCAATTGTCAAAAATCAATCTCTCATAATTTCATCAAATCTGACCGGTCGTCTGGCTGATCATTCAGCTTAGAATAAATTTTCATCAAATCAATCCCAAAACCAATTGTCCGGGAGATCGTCCACCAACGATCACGTGCAAAATTTAATTAAAGGATAAATACTCCCTTCATTTGATGAAAAATTTACTACTCCCCTCACTTGATATTAATATGATACATTTTTTCTCTCATAAAAGTTAAAAAAAATCAAAAATCTCATCCTAATTAAGGCTTTTTAACCCTAAAATAAAATAATTAAAAAGTCAAAAAAACCAACTCACATCCCAAACAACTCCTTTCTAACAGCTTTTTGGAGTTTTGTGGTGGAGGGCACTGCTTGTAATTTCACAAGTTGCGTTTTGATCACTCCCAAAATGGTGTTGGCGTTTTGTGCTGGAGAAGCTGCCTTTTGGACGCTGCTTTCATATCTCTTATACAAATTCAAATTATAATATAATAATATATTTTTATATTATATGATATTTTTTTATCTAATTTTAAATAAAAAATTATTTTAGAGGTAAAATGAAAAAAAAAATTAAACTCAAAAGGTTAAAATAAAAAATAAAAAAATAAAAACGAAAGTGAAAGTGAAAAAATGATCAAATATAAAAAGAGCAATATATAATTTATCCATACAAAAATCATCAACTAATAACACATGGAATTAGAGATGGCAATTTGAACCTAACCCGACGAGAACCCAACCCTCCGATCCCGATTTGAGCGGTTTTTCCTAAAAAAATATCCCCAACGAGAAGGGAATGGTATTCAAAAATCAATCTCTCATAATTTCATCAAATCTGACCAGTCGTCTGGCTGATCATTCAGCTTAGAATAAATTTTCATCAAATTCATCCCAAAACCAATTGTCCGGGAGATCGTCCACCAACGATCACATGCAAAATTTAATTAAAGGATAAATACTCCCTTCATTTGATGAAAAATTTACTACTCCCTCACTTGATATTAATATGATAAAATGAATGAAATACTGTTTTCATTAATTTTTTATTAAATTTAAATTTAATAAAAAAAACAATGTTGAAGATAACGTAATACGCCTATTGTGCCATAAGATCGGTCTCATTATTTTTGATTTTTTTTTAAAAAAAATCATCGTTCTATATTAATTAGCCACACATAAAATAAATAAATAAATAAAAATTAAAAGAAAAGTTATTAAAATAAAGAAATAAAAAAGAGTTTTTATGGTGATTCCATATATATTTGTGTGTATAGAGTAGGTCGTCATTTTAACCTCTCCTTGTAAACCGTCCTCGCCTATACATACACCACCACCATCCCCACCACTCTCTCTCATCCCCTCTCTCTCTCTCTCTCTCTCTCTCTCTCTCTCTCTCTCTCACATGGAGGACGAACAGATTACCTCTCCTTCCCTGAAAAACAAGCTCAGGCAAACCCTATGCCTCTCCTGCTGCTTCCGCGCCAACGGCTCTCCTCCGCCGGACGAGAGGTCATGGCTGGTGCGAGCCTCGTCGATGCGGATCAGGTCGCCGGAGATTAAGGACAAGTGCAAGCACCTGATCAGCCGGATCGGCCGCCACCACCACCACCGGAGGCACTCCTCGTCCGCGGTGGACTTCAGGTACGATCCGCTCAGTTACTCTCTCAATTTCGACGAAGGTTTTGACGACCTCGACGAGGCTCCACTCCGGAGCTTCTCCGCCAGGCCGGTTCCGGTGTCGCCGCCGCCGCTGAAGACGGTGTCGGAGACCGACGACCTCGTGAAGCCGAGGGAGATCACCTGCGTTTAGTTTATTGATCGAGCATAGGTTGCGATTTGGATTAATCTCGTTGACGGAGATTTTTTCAACGAGAAATGTCATATTGCGGTGGCGCCGTCGCCGGTGGTGGAGATGTTAGAGAAAGTGTGGATTTGTTACAGCATTAGGTATTTTAGTTTGAAAATTTTGCAGCGATTTGGTATGGGATCGATGTGAGTCTTTGCTGGTAACGCAGAGCAATGTTCTTGTTCATTTCTCTCTGAAATTCGTATTGATATGTTATACATATACATATATTCATGTATATATAAGTTAATTTGATTGAAGGTTTTTTTATTTTTTAAATGTAGAATTGGATTGATTGATTGAAGGATTTAGATGAATTTGAAGTTAGATTGCATTTTTAGATATATAGATTTAAAATGGAATAGTTCAAATATGAATTTCAAGATTGAAGTTGAAAATTTTACTGTGAATTGTGATCGATTAATTTAGCAATGTAAAAATTATTAAGGTTATTGTCGTACTAAATCCATAATCAAATATCTATCTATGCTAGGGCTGAGTAAGGAATTCGTGAAATTCGTAATTCGATCCAGTCCAGTTCAATTCGATAGATTTGGATTGATTTTTTGAATCCGTAGTTTGGTTCCGGATTGAAGAATTAAAAATCCGTAATTCACGGATTGGTTTTGGATTGAACCCTACGGTTCCGGATTTGAACCGATCCGGACCGTATATAAATAGTCTATATTTTTATTAAACATCCTCCCCCATAGTATATTTTCTTATTCCATATAAAACCTAAACTCAAACATAAACCCGCATCATATATTCTTTTATTACTTTTGTTTGTTAGTTTTTAGTTTTAATTTGTAATAGTCTAAATACTTATGGTGAAACCAATTTTCTTATGGTTATTTAAATTCTAAAACAGTATGTCGCTATTATAGAAAGACATGTTGTTATTGTGAAACTAATATATTGCTATGTTTATGTATTTATGAAATTAAAGTGTTATATATATTTTTTTTGTTATTTAATTATGTGAATCCGTGGTCCTAAACCGATCCAATCCATATTTAAATGAATTGGTTCGGATTGATTTTATGATTTAAACGGATTGGACAAGAACCGTAAATAACGAATTGGTCCTGATTTTACCTCAATCCAATCCAATCCGGACCATGCTCACCCCTAATCTATACTATCTATACAAGTATATATGTGAGCACTTATTTTGGTATCTTAAATTTTTTTTTCCTTTATGCCAAATGTCAAATTTTCTATTCACAAAAAAGAAAAAATAGAGAAGAGGGTGTGACTATAACTTTAGACTACAAATTTGATAAACAAGCTCTTATCATTTGAATTGTATATAACGTATAGCAAATATTTTGTATATTTAATTATTTATTTGACGCCAGCCGCTAGTATACATATATATTTAAACAAATTTCTCAATCTATTTATAACAATTAATTTATAATTTTTTATCTTAAATAATTTCATTTGAAGTTTATCTACAAACACTGTGTTAATGATCTATTTACGATGAAGTTTAAGTGATTTTTACCTAAATAATTACAGCATAAAAAAATTTAGATAATGACCTGTATAGGGTTTTGGTAGCGAATTGCAAGTGGAAATTTTTTTTAAATCAACACTAAAGTTCCGTTTGTTTAACTAAAAAAATATTTTTTTATAAAATTATTTTTTTTAAAAATATTTTTTATGTTTGGTGGTGGTGGTGGTTGAATGTAGGTGGAGGTGATGGCATAGTGGTGAGGCAGTAGCAATGGTAATGGCGGTATGGTAGTGAAAGTGAGAGTGGCAGTAATAATGTGGTGAAATTTGTTAAAATAGAATATTAAGGGGTGTTTTGAAAAAATGAAAAAAAGTAATTTTTTGACTTTTAACCAAATTTTTGACTTTTTTAGACAGGTAAAGTTTGTAAAAAGTTACTTTTGGTTTTTTTTATTAATATTTATTTATGATGTCAAATCATAATAAAATGACTAAACTACTTCCATTCGATTTAAAATATTTATAACTTCACCCATGTAACATATTTTGACCCATAAAAGATAGAATTGTAATTTCACTAGTGGCTAAAAATTAACTTCTCAAATGTCTTTAAATACAAAAAAATCAACATTAGACTTTTGCTATAAACTCATAAAAGTGGCTAAAAATTAAGTATTCAAAAGAGGCAAGAATATTGAATGAAAATACATAATAGATCACATAAAATGTATTAAATTGGATGGTTGAGATTTATTTTGAATGTGAATTCTATTTTAATTAGATTGTCATACATCAATTACATTTTTCTATGATCCATTCTATGTTTTCAATACTGCTCAAATTAAAAAAGTTATTTTAGCCATTGGAGCAAATAAAATGGAGTTTAGGCCCATGCGCTAAACAGTGAAAGCATAATATTTTTATTTATTTGTTTTGCTGGGCAACATGAATGAAAGCATAATATATTAAGGGCAAATTACAAACACCCCTCGAGATTTGCTAAAAATATAGATTTTTTTCTGAGGTTTAAGAAATTACAAATTGCCCCTTCAGAGTTAAATTTTCATAACAAATTAGGAAAAATTATAGGAGAATCTGTATAAAAATAAAAATTTCAAGGGCAATTTGTTATGAAAATATAAATCTCAGGGGTGAGATGTAATTTTTCAAACCTCATGAGGGAATCTGTATTTTCACCAAATCTCGAGAAGGCGTTTGTAATTTGCCCTAATATTAACATAGGCTTTTTTGTTATATAAAAAAAATACAAAGCTTAGTAATGTGTCAAATAATATATTTTAAACACAAGTGTTTTTTTTAAAAAAAAAAATTAATCAATTAATTAGTATTTTTAGCTAACTTTCAAAAGATGCTAAATTTCAGTAACCATTTATTGGACAGGCATTTCTAAACCTTTGGATTGGATAAAGGGGAAAGATAAAATTCAATAATTATATTCTATGAAAGATTAATAGTCCGGACCAGACAAAATGTTCCGGCCAAACAAACAGCAAACTAGGAGGAATTGCGGGGCAAATTCTTAGGTGGTTCCCACAGGTCCCCAAATCCAATCAAACAAACAACCTTGGAGCATGTTTGATCGGAAAAATTAAAGCATGGAATTAGGATTATTAATCTGTGGGCCTAATCATCCTATGTTTGTTTTGACATTTTGGTTTAGGACTATTAATCCAATGGATAATTAATCCAATAAATTTGTAGGATTATTAATAATGGGGTAGGAGTGGGATAGTTAATACCACACTAATTTGATAGGATTATTAATACCTCACTATTAATATCGTGAATCAAACATGACATTGTAGTATTCAAATTTACTCAGTGAAATGAGTCAACATATATCTCTCTCTTTTTTTTTCTTCAATTTGGTCAAAATGAGTCATTCTTGACGGAGAAATATTCAGCTGAGGAGCCGTGTCGGTTTAATCAAAGATACCATTTAAAAAAAAAAAAAAAAGGAATAAACCAAAGAAAATTAAGGTCAAGTTTGGCATGATTGAAAAAAGATAAAAAGTCAAAAAGTCGTTATCTTATTTAAGTCACATCATCTTATTTAAGTCACATCACCTCTCTAACACATCACTTCAAATCCAACCCAAACCCAACCCATATTTCATAAAAAGTCAAAAAGTGCACTTATTTAGTCTTCCCAAACTAGACCTAATTAAAATATTTTCTTGTTAGTCCTGCTAAAAAATGTCCATTGTGTGTTCATTAAATATCAAATAATGCCAAGAAAAATAAATAAATTAAATTAACATTTCAATATTTATTTCAGATATTTTTCTGTTTTTCATATATACTTTTATACATATATCAATATTGGTACCACTATATTAATCACCGCCCAATGAGATGATTAACATTTTTCTTTCTTTTTTGATATAAAAATAAAGATTAGATTATTAAGCATTGATGATTTAAATAAACAAAATCCTTAGTATAAAATGTTGTTAGTTTTTAGTTTTAATTTGTAATAGTCTAAATACTTATGGTGAAACCAATTTTCTTATGGTTATTTAAATTCTAAAACAGTATGTCGCTATTATAGAAAGACATGTTGCTATTGTGAAACTAATATATTGCTATGTTTATGTATTTATGAAATTAAAGTGTTATATATATATATTTTTTTGTTATTTAATTATGTGAATCTGTGATCCTAAACCGATCCAATCCGTATTTAAATGAATTGGTTCGAATTGGTTTTATGATTTAAACGGATTGGACAAGAACCGTAAATAACGAATTGGTCTTGATTTTACCTCAATCCAATCCAATCCGGACCATGCTCACCTCTAATTTATACTATCTATACAAGTATATATGTGAGCATTTATTTTGGTATCTTAAATTTTTTTTTCCTTTATGCCAAATGTCAAATTTTCTATTCACAAAAAAGAAAAAATAGAGAAGAGGGTGTGACTATAACTTTAGACTACAAATTTGATAAACAAGCTCTTATCATTTGAATTGTATATAACATATAGCAAATATTTTGTATATTTAATTATTTATTTGACGCCAGCCGCTAGTATACATATATGTTTAAACAAATTTCTCAATCTATTTATAACAATTAATTTATAATTTTTTATCTTAAATAATTTCATTTGAAGTTTATCTACAAACACTGTGTTAATGATCTATTTACGATGAAGTTTAAGTGATTTTTACCTAAATAATTACAGCATAAAAAAATTTAGATAATGACCTGTATAGGGTTTTGGTAGCGAATTGCAAGTGGAAATTTTTTTTAAATCAACACTAAAGTTCCGTTTGTTTAACTAAAAAAATATTTTTTTATAAAATTATTTTTTTTAAAAATATTTTCTATGTTTGGTGGTGGTGGTGGTTGAATGTAGGTGGAGGTGATGACATAGTGGTGAGGCAGTAGCAATGGTAATGGCGGTGTGGTAGTGAAAGTGAGAGTGGCAGTAATAATGTGGTGAAATTTGTTAAAATAGAATATTAAGGGGTGT